TTGCAGCCAGGGAGCGGATTGCTGTTCAGGCGTTCAAGAGGTCTAGTCCTGGTGGATTTTATTTATTTCTTTTAGACTCTCCAGTGGGACTCCTTGCAAGACGTAAAGTTCTCTGCTGCCTTGGGTAACGCTGAAGGAGAATCAGGCATATTTGCCAGCAAAAAAATGATTTCCGCAATGCTGATGTTCAAAAATCGGATGCAGACATCTTCCTCCATGGGCCATACCAGGTTGAGCCACTAGGGGGCAGTGTCACATATATAGATGAAGATACAGAGATAGACATAAAGATATATTCAGTATTCCAAAATGAATTTCAATCACAGGCAAAACACACCCCAGATACAAAACCAGGCCTCCAACCTCCCCGAGCAAGGAGTCCTGGGAAAAATACTTTGGAATGATTTAAAAAAAACTTTCCCCTGGGTTCCTAGTTTGTCGTTTGGGATTTCAGGGCCAAACTCTGTCTCTGGGGCAGAAGATGGGTGAGAGGAGGGGGGGGAAAAGCTCGATGCTTTTTACTTTATCATCTCTGTGATCCTCTTTTGAGGAAGCAGGATGGTCTGGGCAAGTTTCTGGAGAAGACAGTCCCAAGTGACCTAAAGCTAATGCTGTTTATACTCCTGGAGGAAAGTTCTGGAGATGTTTCCACCAAGTCCGGTCAGCTTGGACGTGATCCTTCTTTGCAGGGAGGAGTTCATGGATGCAATGAAATGTAAGGAAGGGATTCCATTAAATGAGTGCTATTAAAGCGGTGGGGGCTTCAACTGGTGGGAACGGTCTGCCCACGGAAGTGGTAGGTGCTCCATCTTTGGAGGCTTGTAAGAAGAACCTCTCGTAGAAGGTTGAATTCTTTCCTTCTGCACGTGGTAGCCCCAGATGACCCTTGGGGTCCCTTCTAATTCCCCCATTCTGGAAAAAAAAACTGGCATTATTGCAGATCAGAAGGCATAACGAAGTCCCCCCAAGTTCCATTTCTATCTTCTTTCCATGGCCAATCTTTGCAACCCCCAGGCGGTGTTGTGTGCATCAGAAGTCATAAAAAAGAAAGGAAAAAAAACAGGTATTCCAGAAATCCAGCAAACTTCTCATCTGCCAGAGCTGTTTTCTCAGTGACCTCCCCAGGCTGCATTGCCAGAAAGCCAGGGTGGGTCGCTCAGAGTTTCGGCTGCTTGTCACCACTGGTGAATAACGACCGTGCCGCTGAGACTTGGCACCTGGAAGATGCAGATGCTTTGTTTCCAACTCCTCCTCCAAGCTGGCACCGGCCTGCTGCAGGTCGAAACCAAACCCAGAAGTCCACCCCAAAGGGTCGGCGTGCCAAGCCTGGAGAAGCAGAAGCAGAGTTGCTCCAGAACTCCAATTTTCTATAATAAAAGCGAAGGAGTTCTTCTGCATCCAGGACCGCTCCGCCAGGCTTTAAAGGAAGATCTGATGGTCTAGGATGGTGGAGCTGAAGTCCACGCCTCTTCCAGCGGCCAAGGTTGAGAAACACCTGTCTAGGATCATCTGTGTTCATGCAGCCTACTAAACTGGGCAAAAATAAAGCAGAATACGTCATTTGTGATGGGAACTCAGCCCCTATTGTAACACCAGCCAGTAGATGAAATTCCTATGACTGCAATTTTCCATGTTTTCCCTTGCTTCCTTTCCAACACCCGTTTGTGCCGGAAAGAAAGATTCAACCATTTTCCCCCCACTTCTTCCTGTTGCCTGGATTTTTTTCTCTGCGCTCACTCCCACACAAGAGGGCTATACCAGGTAAGACAAAGTTTGGCTCACTGATTGACAGGTGTGTGTGGGGGGGCGGTATTCTAGATCCACCCAGGAGCAGAAAATCCACGGAGACTTGCCTTCCAAGACAAGCTTTGTTTCCAAAGAAAAAATGTTTGGGGCCACCACCACCATCCCCCAGCAAGGCAACTTATGGGCCAATTTGAAATCTCTTGCACAACTCATCCTTGGCACATAACACAAGGATTAGTAAACCTCTTTGCATCAGAGTCATACTTCCCTCTGAATGATATAACCAGCTGGGCATTACATAAAAACCAGTCTTAGGATGGGTGCCTGGCTTTGCTCATTTTTTCCTCTTCCCTCCTCATTTAGTCTTCCTTTACTGCCATGCCTCAAATAGCGTTGCCTGCCCCATTTGGCCAAAGCAGGACTTTCAATGCTTCACAACAAGAAACAGAGCCGGTGGCATCCACAGCCATCTTATGTGGGAGCACAAACCCACGTGGAAATTGGGAAGTCAACAGAACCATTTTTTCTGGCAGAAAGAATACGCGAGAAACAACACCCAGAAAATATCTCAGGGTTTGACTGGAGTGTTTCCAAGGCAGCTGGAAGCCAAGTGATAACAGCTGTTTGATGGAGGCTTGGAAAATGCAGATGTGTGTAAACCGAGGCAGGCTAAAGACGTGGCAACCAGGACAGCCAGCCTGGACCAAACCTGGTGCATTTGAGGGAGAATTAAGGAGGTGTCAAAACAGAGGCCGAGAAGTGTGCCAGACCCACCCCCAACAATGCCAGGGCTCCATGCCTTGCTCCGAACAAGGCTGGCAAGGTTAGCTGATCGATAACCCCCTGCCCCACGTTAGCAGACGACTTCTAAACCCAAAGCCCGTTTAGCCGCGAGATTTGATCTGGAGCCGGTCGGAGAGAAATTCCCAGCAAAGTGGGATATAAAATCGGGAACGACTGGGGGGGCCAATAAGAAATGCCCACCCCCAACGCGATTTGGATTTACTGGGGGGGAGAAACGGGCTGTTGGGTGATTGGCAGAGGCACCGTCCAGGGAACATGAAATGAAACACACACGCACATTTTTATCAATCTTAGTTGGTGCTGCTGGAAGTTCCAAAGGTGAAAATCCGGAAGAAATTGAGGAGGGAATGTTGTCCGGGGCCCGGTTTCGTGAACTTTTTTATGACGATGATGAGGCTGTTATCTGATCTCTTGAAAAGCCTGCCAAACGAGCCCAAACAGGTTTTCTTCTTCTCCTTTCTTCCCCCTCTTTGTTCCCTAGGTGGTCTTAGCTGGATATCCAAACTCAGCCGAGTCACGTGGGACAGCAGTGGGGGGGCGAGGGGGCGGGGGGCAGATCCTGGCATTACGAAAGAATCTACTGCCCCCAACGGAGGACAGAGAGGCTCAGACCAAAATGATGGTGCTGTTCTGTTGACTTGCCCAGCTGTCTTTCCACCGTGGTCGAGTTTATGGGGCGCTTCCTTCGCCGTAGCAAGGCGGGGGGGGTGATCGCTCCCGAACGAACTCACCCAACGAAACAAATTTAGGGGTAAGGGGCTTCCCTGGACCACATGCTCCTCCTCGGTGGGGTTTGGGGGAGGAGGGAAAAGCAGGGTTAAAAGGAAACCCCTAATTTTGGAGCAACTCCTGACAGTCTAGACTGGGATCATTCAAAGGGGCAGAAAAGGATTCAGACACTTTGGATAAAGAGCTTTACGGTAGACAAGCTGAGAAGCCATTAAGAAAGAACTCCAGTGCCTGCTACGTCTCAAACGCCAGCCCTGTTTATAGCGAAATGAAAGTTCAAATCAGCGTGCAAATCGTGGGCCTCTTTCTCCCATCCGAGCTCTGCCGCAGAATGACAGCCCGTTCTTTGGCACAGGAGCTCCTCTCTCCATCTTTCTGCTTCTGTCTGTCTCGTTTGGGTCACGGACAGATCTGATATCAGGTTGTTTCCCTCAGACCACGTGTGAACAAATGCTCGCACCCACCTTGGTTGAGCCCGAAAAGTGAAGAAGGATCGAGTCTTGGATGGGAGGCCACAAGAAAATCCCAGGGCTGTAGACCAGACTGGGACTTACACAAGCAACATCCTAAAAGAAGACCAGGGGAAATTCCTTTGGGATGGCTGTAATATTAGGAAACGGGGTCCCCTTCCCAGAGACCCCTCAACCAAGGAAAGACAGCTTTACTCGATCTTCCTGGAAATGCTTCCGTGTGACACAAACTGCATTCGTCCTCTGTTCATCTGGGTGCCTTGCTAAATACCCAGCTGTTTCTGCTTTCTGTACTGAGACAGCATATCTTTTCTGACCCTGAACCCTGGAAAAATGCCTCCCCCTTCTTCCAAATGTCTGAACGGGGCGTAGGCAAGCAGAAACACAGGCGAAGCAGCCAAGAATAACACGTGAGTTTGCATCTCACTCTGCCCTCGGTGATGGAATTCAGGAATGCAGAGGAGGAAAACAGGTGGCAGGGCTGGAAAGGTTGGGGGGGGACCGAGAATGCAGGATAGCTGTACCTCCTGGGAGGGAGTTTGCCTTGGGGAGCCCCCAACTTTATTTCAAGCACCCCTGCTAAGAGCACTCTATCTGGCTGCTTTGGAGCAGGGCATCTCTGATGTTTAGGATTCCCCCCGACAATCTGCCTTTCACTAAGGGGAAACCCTGATTCTACGTACAAGTGTGCCTCATCTTTTTTCTCCAGGGTGTAGAAGAAGGAGCTGACACTCCAGGCCGAAAAGGGGAAGGAGGGGAAAGCCCATCGCAATTTGAGGAAGCGAGGCTTGGTGGCCAACGTCGCAATTTTTAAACTGAA